TGAGAACAAGGAACTGGAGAAAGGAAATTGCCAGAATGGCTAGGATGAACGAGATGATTCTTAGTGGAAGCTCTCAGAGGAAAGGCATCTTTTTTTTCTTTCTCTTTGTTGAGGCTAAGTGCTTGTTCCTATAAAGGTGTCAGAATAGGTCGGGCGCGGCGGCTTACGCTTGTAATCCCAGCACTTTGGGAGGCCAAGGCGGGCGGGTCACGAGGTCAAAAGATCGAGGCCATCCTGGTCAACATGGTGAAATCCCGTCTCTACTAAAAATACAAAAATTAGCTGGGTATGGTGGCGTGTGCCTGTAGTCCCAGCTACATGGGAGGCTGAGGCAGGGGAATTGCTTGAACCCAGGAGACCGAGGTTGAAATGAGCCGAGATCGCATCACTGCACTCCAGCCTGGGCAACAAGAGTGAAACTTCATCTCAAAAAAAAAACAAATGTGTCAGAGTAGAGGGTGGCGGGTGCATCTCCAAGGGCTACAAACTCAGGTGACTACCCAGGCCAAGCAGGACACATGTGTGGGTGAGCACAGCAATGCTGGGTGCTCCTTGACTCACTCTTGTCTGTGCCTGGCTGAAACCTACCAGAAGAGCAGGAAGGATAATAACCAAGCAAAGAAACCCAGGCACAGTTAGCACATCCTTGGAGGCTCATCTATATACACGTCTCTGCCCCACACACACTCTACTACCTCCTCCCCAAAAGCTTTTGCTGCTGAACTATGCCCCAGTCCCCCCATTCTGTAAGAGCTAGGAATTAACCTTGGGTTGATGTCCCTCTGGACACCTGTGTTTTCTTGCCGTGTGCTACCAGGAATTGATGCACCTTTGTCTCCCCGCATTTCCTATCCTAGTGTACACTGACCAGATTGTAACATCTTTGATGGGGAGGCTGAGTCTCCCTGCTCCTCCCTGCCATTGTAGCCAGGGTTGGGCAATACTGGGAGAAACCACATATCTTTCTTTATGGGTGGGCTGGTGAGGTCTTGCAGGCCTGGGGTTCTCATTGCAAAGGCCATTCAAGACAAACAGGGAACTTGTTTTAAGCTGATTGCCCGGAATTCGAAGCAAATGCTGGATCCAAATAGTCTAAAGGTGGCTGGAGCTTCAGGCTTTCCAAACCCCTCTGTAGGGTTACATGATTTACTGAAATACAAGGATGTTCTGCTTTTACTGCTTAAAGCTCCCAATACCCAGTTATTTGTTTTACACATTTCCCCCATTAGAAAATGAAACATAGCAATTAGAAGCCAACCCAGGTTGTTCTGCATTTAGGGGTTTTCACATATCTACTTGATAATTTTGTATCTGTAGCAGCTTGGGCATAGCAGCCTTAAAGAACCTTGTTTGGATTGTTGTAATGTTTTCCAGTTCAAAGTAACTGCTAGAATGGCTTTAAAAAAATGCATGGCAAAACTCAAATCTATTAGCCTTGCAGTTCACACCTGCAGTTTCTCTCCATCCAGGTGTGGGGTTAACGCAAGCATCTGGGATATATTTGCAGGGATACTTTAGGAATAAAGAGAAAAACCCAAGATGCCTAATCAGAAATTACCTTACTGGTAGTAAAAACCAAATTCATGAGAATGTATAAAAATAGATTTCTTTTAAATGCCAGGGAAGAGATTTGGAAGCGTTTTGGCAGATTGGGATGCATGGACCGACCTGCGCCAGGTTCTTCTTACGTTAATAAATATTCATTTTGTTTTTTTGGGGGGGAGTCCAAGTACTAAGCAGAGGGTCCTTGTTGTAGAAGTGAGATCTATTTCTACAGTGAGAAATTCGTAGTCTTAAATACCAGGTATTCTTTTCTAAAAATGTAACTCTTTCCTTGCAATTCAAACGGTGCAGGGGGACAGCTGCTCCCGGAGATGGATTCAGCCACGGCCTTTTCTCCTCCGTGCAGCTAAGCCAAGCCAGGTATGAAAACGGTGCTTCCTTCCCCTTCTCAGACATCTCATTTTTTTTCTCGGACACACAGAGAAAGCTTCATTCAATATTGATAGTGTTTTGATACATTAAAATCAAGAGGAAGTCAGGAATCTTATATACAATTTACACAGATGTCATTTTTTCCTGGTTTCGCCATTTTTGACCAAAGGCGTCAATATTTTACAGCGATTTCATTTCCCTTCAAAGCCTGCAGGAAGTCCAGTTCTCACAGAATGCATGTCCAGTTGCTACTGAGACGGTTCCCCACAACGTGTCTGTGAAGATGACGTTATTAGTATTATTTGAAAAATCTACTTACCACTTGTGTTCAATTTAGCAAATTTGGGTCTTGAAAAAAATCTCAAAATAATTTTCCTTCATCTGGCAGAGTCGCATTGTTCGTAATAAGTAAAAATAAATGTTTTGCCATTCTACCAAATATTTTAAACCAAACCAGAAGAAATATTCCAAACAATATAGTTCATCTAAATTTTATTGAAAGACAAAAAAGGGAAAGAGAAAGAGGGAGAGATGGAGAGAGAGACCTCAATTGCAGCTGTTCCAAAGAGTTCGGGTACAAATGTTCTTTCATTCCTTTGCATGATTTTGATAAAATTGGGTCAAAGAAATGCTCATTTGAAAACAGTGCTTTGTCATATTATCTACAACACATGTCTAGCAAATTTATGAATCCAGCATTCATCTGCGTGAAGTTTCAAATCCTAATGAATGGTTTAGACAGCATTGTCATCAATTTTCAGCAGGTGCAGCTGAGGCAATCAGTCAATTCAATCAAAAGCCTCCGTCAACTTGCGTGGCGCTGTCATTTTTTACATTCGGATTGCTGAAATTAACAAAAAACGATCCCTCCCTGGGTGCCGTTACACCCTTCCCGCCTGTGGGTGGCGCTTTTGAGCAACGCTTTGCCGCTCGCCGTGCTGCCAGATCTCGCAGCATTTTTTTTTTTTAACTTTATACTAACATAATATTTCTTTTGTGATATTATGGAGATAAAATTGCACTGTGTGTTTTAACACACATTACAACAACCTCTTAAGGCAAAAAAGTAAATTCATGCAAATGAGTTATAGAAAGTGAAAAAGATTTCTTGTTCGGTGCGGCGCGCGCTGGGACCCGGCGCTGGGAAACACTCCAATCGCCAGGTTCTGAACTTCCTGGTCCCTTCTGCTGGCAGCCTGTGCAATAGATTGCAATGCGGGCTCTCAACTTCGGAACTGTCGCTTTAAGAGCTGAGAACCTGGCCACCTGGTTGCCTTTACCTTCCTTTTCCTCTGGGTTTACCTTCCACTGCCTCTCTGGAAACCTTCAGGGTGGCCTTTATTGGTATCAGGAGAGGCACGTTTTATTGCAACCTGAGTGATGAGAATTCTCTTCTTACCATTGCCAGCTGTTGAGCTCCTTCTCCTCAAAGGGTTAACAGCAGCTTCAAACCCTGCCGCTTTCCTTAAGAGAGTTAAAGGTCCTAAGAAAGAAAAGCTTTGGCTTTTTAACTCATTGAAAAATAAGCTTGTTTCCAAAACTCTGTAGTCTAAGAGGGATTTCAGCAGTGCCAGTGAGGTAAAGAGAAAACTGCAAGAGCCGCTCTGCATATGGCAAAGATGAGCACTCCTGTCTTCTGTCTCCTGAGAACACTAGCAGGTGCCTTCTAAATCTTTAAAATATATGGACGGACAGAAAGCACTTAGCATCAGTTCCTCCATGATGAATAGAGTTAACCTTTGTAGTTCGCCAAAAGTCAGTAAGTTTTTCTTTCCCATTTGTTTCAGCCGAATGACGAGTAGAAATGCGGGTAGGACCAGAAAAACTCACATTGTCTTGGCCTTTTTGCTTAATGACAGCAGTGGACTGCGTACAGCAACTGGCAAAGGAAACGTGCTAATATTAACTTATTTAAATAATCAGGTTACATGTAGCAACAGACGCACTCAAATTTGTTAAAGTGGCTTGAAAAATATTTATAGATGGCTTTCCCTTGCAGACGTCATGAATGGTCAATTGCCCCAACATTTCCGCGGCCACGTTAAAAAATACACTTGGTTTCTAAAAGAATGCAAATTCCAAGGAATATAATAAAAATGTACTTTTTAATAACTAGTTATGTCACTTTGCAAATAGCTTTGATGTAGCATTCCTGCCTGCATAAAGTTGAAGCTACATCTGTGTCAGCCATACCTGCGTTTATGATACCTTCCCTGAGAGAGCAATTAGGGGCTGGTGAGGGCTGGAGTTCTAGCTAATATTTGAAACTACATGTGCGTCTGCAAGCTAAAGGGGAAAAAAGGGCTGTGATCATCTGTGAATAGAGAAAAGGATTCTAACAGCTCCTACCTTTTAGACACTTGATAAAAAAATGCGGCAGGGGGTGCCTGGAGAGTCTCAAGGGAGTGGCTTTTCCGCTGAGAAATGAAGACTGCCACATAGCCGCCAGCCGGGCTTGCTGTAGGAAGCTTACAATTCGACTCTCTATGGTGGAGTTTGAAGTTAAATGGTCCTGTCTGCTTCTTCTCTTGTTTGTGTCACTTGTTAAAGATCTCTTGAAATGCACCATTACAGTTTCCTTTTAGTTGATTACAACAGAATTACACTAGTCATCTTGCATTTTGGCTACCCCTAATTTCCTATAAGAGCCCACGGAATAGATCTTTTCTGTTTTTTTTTTTTAATTACCCAGATATAAAAACATTTGACTTGCTATTACTCTTAATGTAACTGTAGATCTTGTAATAAAAGGTGAAGTGAAATTGAGCATCCATAAATCAAGCAAATGAATGCACAGAAAAGAACCAACGATACGTATAGTCAAAAATATGTGTAGCCTTAAAGGAGGTCCTTGGCATGGTGTGTGTGTGTTTTAACATTATGCTTTTCATTAGGCTGGACTCTGTTTTGCAGGGAAGACAAATATTTCCGCATTAGAATTTTTCTTTCTCTCTTCCAATCCAAAAGAGAATTTCTTTTGTTGTTGTTAGTTTCTTTCTAAAAGGGAAGTAAATTAACATTGCTTTTCCCCCCATGAATATATGTGGTGAAAAGCTTGCAGAGTGTTTTGACTAAGCATGCAAAATGTTTTATTAATCAGAGGAACAGAGTAGAAATGAAGGCAGTACGTCTTTAAAAGTGCCTGGGTGTCCAGGTACACGGGGAGTTCCGTAAAACCGTTGACCAAGCACAATGTACGTAGACAAATGTCTTCTCATTGTGTGATGCGTGAAGGCCATGATAGATGGCTTCTAACAACAAAGCGTGGCCACAGAGACAAAATTAGTGTTGTTTTAATTACCAGTGTCTGTAATGTTATCTATCCATAACTGCCTGAAATAGACCGTCACAGAGGGTCAGAAGGCGACCTGACCTCATACTTCCACACACAGCTCTCTTATCGGTTCCGGAGTCGTTACAGCAGTGTGCTTAAAAAAAAAAAAAAAAAAAAAAAAAGAAAAGGAAAGAAAAAGTTTAATGCTTCACTTGAAACATTTATTTATAACAAAAAAAATTGTTTCTTGTTTAAGGGAAGTGCCTTTATCTTTTTCTTTCAAAGCAGATCTTATTAAATGCTATTTGGAGATCAGAGTAATGGGTAGAAAATGGGACCGGCCTTGACATTCTTCAACAAAAGTTTACACTCTCGGAGTGGTGTTTTTTGTCAGTCACAAATAGCATGATGACACTAATGGGAAAGAAGGTTCTTTATTTTTGAAACCTCCTTGAGCTGAGATGGGCTGCTCTTCAGACATTAGTAAGTGTGTATATTGTGAAGATGAAGTATCCCTTACTTTCTGAGCTTGCGGGAGATGAAAGATAGCCCAGTTTTTGAAAATGGCCTGCGTGGCACATGCTATAAATGAGCACGGAAAGCAATCGAGCTAATAGATTACAGTAATTATCCAATCTTTGGCTAGTTTGTATTGGCAAACTATAAATACAGTACACATTAGAACAAGGTGCTTACAGAATGTACATGAAAGGTCATTGTAATTTGCAAGTCGCTAGTCATTAGAATATGCTAAAAACCATTGCTTCAGGGCTCAGATTTTAATGATGAATACATTGATTATTAAGTAGCAGAGGAAAAATGTACAAGAGCGGCTGTGGTGTAATGATAGGTCGCTTTATTTTGGGAAGGAAATCAACTCAGCTTCAGAATGCAGGCATTGAGGAATATAATTGCAGTGAGGAAAATTCCTCAGAGGAGCTTGGCACATATTAAAAGCAAAAACTTGAGACATGTTTGTGATAAGATTACTAATAAATCTCTGGTAAGTCTTAGACTCCTGACAATAATACAGCAACAGAGTACTTCATCTTCTCCAAGCTTTAGAATTTAAGATCAGTCACAAACAATCTAAATTACGACTGATACTAGGCAGATGCAGTACTGGACGATGTTGCTTGTCATAAATCTCTCGTTCCTTATATGCAAATTAAGCTCCATTTTAAAAGATAATTTTTCACATGGTGATCGCCTTTATTTGCGAAACGCTGGTGATTTTTAATGGGGAGAGAGAAAAAGCCAGGCTCTACATCCGGGAATGATTTCATGCAAGATGGGAGGCAGGAGCCTGTCATCTTGATGCTTTAGGTGGGGCACCTTGACGGGTTTTAGAAAGAAGTTAGGGACCAAGTTGGGCTTAGACACAGCCACGCTGTGCCTAGAAACTGTCTTGGCTGCTGGCTGTAAGGAAGTCCCTGGGTTGCATGTATGTTTCAAGGCTTTCTGACTTTTAGATTTCACAGTGGTGTGCCTGATTCTGCTTGTTCTGGGACGGAAGCATTTTCTCTGACAGTCACCTGCCTCCTGCTCTCCTCCTGCCCCACTCAGTCTTTGCTGGGGAGCTTGCCCTCTGCCTCTTGGACCTCAGTTCTCCTACCTGGCTAGGGGGCTGAAACCCACTCCTCACATAGCTGTCCTAGGTATCTTTTCCAAAAAGAACTCAACATAGAAATGACCTGTAGTCCCGAGTCAACCGTGTGCCAACCGTTATCACTTTTTTCTTTCTTTCTTTCTTTCTTTATTTTTTTTGTATGTGTGTTTTAAGAGCAAAGCAGCAGCTTACCTCTGGGTCCTGATAGATAGAGAGGGAATGGCTTGTTTTTCCTCATCACAGTCTGTTCTCATGAAATGTTTGTCTCTGAAGCCCTGAATTTTTACTGCAGGGCTGCTGATGGGAAACTTGGAAAGAATTAAAAAAAATTTAAAGAGTGGGAAGCATCTGCCTTTTCTGAAATCCATCATTCCTCTACGTCATCCCTGGACCTCGAGGTTTATAGGAGATGCTTGGCCTCTTTGTTGAAGCCACAGGGCAGTGAGGCCAGGTGTGTTGAAGGCCTCTCCAGGGCCCCAGAGACAGGGATCCTGGCTGGCATTTATCTGACGAAAGAGTAAATTAAGGGGGTTTTCACACCATACTGGGTTCACCAGGGTAGCTTGGCAGCAGGGTGCTTAGAATAGTTTTATTCTATATACACCTCCAAAGAAATATCAGGACCAAGGGGCAGGTAGCCAAGTGTTTTTTAATGGGTAGCAGCATCACCCAGGAAATCACCCTGGGTCCAACCAGAGATTGGGCAAATTCTTCTTTTCCCCTGGTGCTATCAAGATGGAACTCCTCCTATTTTTCCACTGTTTTCTTGGGAATACATTGGCAGGTCCCAGGGAAGTGTTGAGAAGTCTGCATTTGTACTTCTCTTTGTCTTTCTGTCATTCTAACCCCACACCCTGCACATGCACAGCCACACACACACAGATACACACACGCACACACACACTCGCTCTCTTTCTCTCTCCCCCTCTCTCCCTGTTTCGCTGTGCCCTCTCCAAATTAACGAACTTAAAACAAAAACCAAGCGCTTGTTGATCAGTGCTGACAAACCTGTTCCAGGAGGAAGGGACTAGTGGCTCCTCGGGGGCAGATGCGCAGGGACCAGGTGGAACGGCACATCCCTCTGGGTCCCCTGTAGCTAGTCATTTTATCAGCCTGTGCATTAAGGGGCAACACCACGCAAGGGTAAGAGTATAAACATGCTTTACAATTCTCAGCTCCCTAGCGTAAGAATACTTCCCGCGTGGATGTAAATTTACAACACGTGCTTATCAAATGTGAAAATGCTTGCAAATCAGAAACAAACTTAAGGGTGAGCATATTTCAGTGATGGCTTTTGCAAGGGCTGTGCTTGATGTTGGGCTATAATCTTGTTCCTCTTTAGTTTCTACATGAAGTGTCTTTCCACGGTTTGCCACAGGGAGAATTACGATGGCTGAGCCTCAGACACTGGTGTGAAGATGCAGATTTGTTTAATGAAATCCGTATTTACCATTGGGTTGCAAACACAGCTAATACGCCCTACATTCAAAAAAGAGATCTGCACTCTCAGAACTAATATTTTCATTAATTGTGTATTTCTACCAGAAGGCAGACATCATCTAACCATCTTTGCAGCGTAACTGCACCTGTGATAGAAACGTTTTTCAACCGTCCCGTTCTCGATGAGTAGAATGTGTTGTATTTGTAACATAAGGCAATAACTTCCTTTCCTGGATTTGCCTGTCCTAAGTGGTGAATTCTCCAGTATAATCGGGCTGTGTGTGTTCTTTTCTGATTTGCACTTTTTGTTTTGCAGTTTTAAAACCGTCCCCACCCCTTTGTCCCCCAAATCTTTAAGATTTGCTTGTAAGATATACTTGTGCAGGAAGTAATTAGCCTGTTACAGAGATATTAATTAACATGTTGAAAATGCTTTCTTTATTAATGAGAAATTCACACATTCTATTGAAATTAATTTGTAGAGTTTAAAATTAATTTATCGCGGCCTTTGATGACCTCAGATCTACGAAGACAAAACTGGAGTATTGTACTAACTGTTAAACCATTCATTAAACATTTTATGCAAATAGTGTTTGTTTATAAACAAATTAACTGCAAGGATTTTCAAAACAGGTGCTGTGTTGTGAATGCGTACTAAATGATGTGGTACTGAAAGAATTAATTAGACCTTCAAATGTAATTAGTTGCAATAATTTGCGTGATTAGCGGCTTGGTTAAGAAGTAAGACACACACATTGTAATGCATGGGAGAGTCACTGCAGTAGCTTTGTTTTTCATATGGTGAGGATGAGTCTTCTCCATGTTTCGGAAATTTTTCAAAAAATTGCTGACATAGCTGCAGTTAATTGCCAAGTATCCTGTGGGGGGTAATGTTGTTGTTGTCGTCTTTTTTCCCTCTTTCTCCGTTGGCTTCTTGCAATGCGGAGCCACTGGATGCAATGCTGTTTATTTGCACCTTTATGAATTTTTAAAAGAGAAAGTTGTTAACCCCAGATCTTTTCCTCCCCAGAGGATATGACAATACTTAACACTTTGAGGGTTAAAAGACAGTACACAATTATTATAAGCCAAATGAAACATGTCCTGTATTTCAAGAGCGGCTGTGATCGCTCAGGGAATAACGGCAGTCATTTTTTTCTTGACATTGCAGTGGAAGTGTCTCTTCTGTTCTTTGGGAAGATGGGCCGCCGCTCTGCAGTTTAGTCTGATGGGCCACAGAAACTGGTACTTGTCACTGCTGATGGTTTGTTGACATGAGGCCTGTGTTCTAGAGGCAAGACCATTGAGATCCCTGGGACCGCAGCATTCAGCTGGATTTATTCTCTAGGGCCATGTTGCTGTGAGATGGCATTCAATGTTTTAGGGACCCTCGGACCTCTAAGCTCTGTGCTGAGACCTTACATAGTACAGCCCTGCTTTGAAGGATCCTGGTGAAAACTAGACCAGAGTGATTTCATTTCTTCATTTGTTCAGATGCATCTAAGTACGCATGAGAATCAAAAGACTGTAAGGAGCTTCTCCTGTTTGCTGATGTTGTAATTTCTCTTTCTCTGGTTGATGAAATGCTAGGGAAAAGGGATAGCCAGTTGGACTAGAGTGAAGTTATTGGGACTAGTGCTGCTCTAATTATTGGACTGGAGTACAAGTGCTGCTCCAGCAAAGGTCCTCTGCATCACCACCATGCATCCGCTCGGGGATGAGTAAAGGCAGACTGATGAGCCAGCTCTCCGAAGTGCCCGACTTCACTGCATCCTGTTAACTTTCCAAGAACACTAAGTTCTCTCATGAGAGACATGAGGTGAACTTCGCCTTGGGAGATGGAGGCTGTATGGCCCTCGGGAGCTGACCTGCAGGGTGTTGAACCTCAGGAAATACCAGCAAAAGAACTTGGCACAATTCATTATTCCAGGCATTGGAATCCTGAGAAAGAGCTACGATGCATTCCATGTCCTCTTGATTTGGGGACTATCCAAGTGGAAAGGGGACACTCTGGGCTTCTGGCCTACGGTGTGCACAAGCATAACAGTGGCATTTATTTAAGGTGCAAACAGAGTATTTAATCCATTCTAACCAGGAGGCACCAAGGCCCTGTCGTAGGCTCCAGGGGAATGCAGTAGTGACTTGTACAGATGATGTCCTTTGCTCATGGAGCTTCATTGAATGCAAAGGCAAACAAGCAGATGCCAAATCTCAGACAATTTCAGCTATGGAGAAATATGAACTTGGCTGATTTCTCCTTATTCAAGTGCACAATTCCTGTTGAAGTGCCTCTGAACAACTGTTGCTCTTCAGCCCTCACTGGGCCATGGCGACATTTTATACTGGAGGAGACAGGATAGAGGGAGTGGTAGTTGGTTAAGAGGTGAGCCAGGATTCTAAAATAAGCCTATTGTGGGCCTGTGTGTGTGTGTGATGCATGTTCCCGAAACCTACTAAATGACAGAAAGGCTTGAAACGCATGGCTTCACATTTTATGAAGGCTCCTTTGCTCAGGGAGAGTTGAATTATTTCATCTCTTTCCTACCACACTGAATGACCTTGGGCAGGGCTGGGGTGAAATCTGATTTCCCTTCCAGCTATAGACATCAAGGACTCTACTGTTGGCCTGGGAGAGGTTGAGGATCTAGAGACGAAAACTTGTGAGTTTCCGTAAGACCACAGCTTTCCCTCCTTTGAATTTCTTGGCGGTGTTTGATTCGATTCATCCTCATTTTCAGCTGGTGTTTGCAAAGCAGTCTTTAAAATAGGGCCTTTTGCGATGATGTTTGAACTTGAACAAAATTAACATTTGCGTGTCATCAGTAGCTGCAGTGCATCCTTCTGGGCAGTGAAGGATGAAAAGTCAAGAATGTGGGCCGCTTGATTAAAATGAACAATCCAGGAAAGTTCAGAAAGATGGATACGTAGAGCTGGCCTGCTAATTTATGTGACTCGATTCCAATTGCAAAGGAACATTTTTTTTTCCCCTCTGAAACTTTTAAGAAATTAGGTTTTAAAGCTGAACGGGTGCACCACTCAACTTAAAATAGAAGAGAATTTGATTTTATGTGGTGCCTTTCACATTCCTGCACGCTATATAATACCACACATCAAAGCTCCTGGCTGCAGGGCGGCTGGGAGGCAGGGCTGGGTTGAATGATTCCTAAGAAGGGGATGAACAACCATCCCCTTTGCAAAACACTTGGAAGGAGCTTCCCGTGGGGTTTTAAAGCCTCTCTCTTCGAGGCCTTTGCACATTTTCTCCCTCCTTGGACTGTGAACATGAAGCAAATATTTACTGGGGTCTCAGGAGCTCTGCACACAAATTGTCCTCTGTGTGCAAATACCATCCTAAATATTTACTGGGACCTTAGCACCTCTGCCCACAAATTGTCCTCTGCATGCAAATACCATCCCGTCCTAGAAGATTCAACTAGAATGTTGTCTCCTGCTCCCCAAGGTAACATTCATAGTTTTTTCCTCTGCAGTAACCTCTGCGGTAGTATTATCAATTCTTGGGCTATGTGGTGTGTGTCCTTGGGAAAAGAACTGCCCTAGACGGAGCTTCACCTGCACATTGGAGCCACACATAGGATTGCCTGAAGGTAGGGGCAGAGAGCTCAAACTAAATGCCCAGCATGCAGGCCCTTGATAAAAGTCAACATGCCCTCTTGCTTCCTCTACCCTTGCATGGGGAGGAGTGCTGACGAGCAGACAACAGGCAAATGAAACCTATCTCCCTCCCCACAGGCTAGAAGACGACTAACAAGAAGTCACGGATGGTCCCACATGTCAGGTATTCTTGAATCCCCACCTGATGGCAATCAGTTGGAACTGATTTGAGAACAGACACATCGTTCACATGCTACCGTGCAAGTCCCAAAGACAGACCTAGCTGTTTTCCTTCCTGGTGTATGTATGACATACAGAATGCTATTTAAATATGTGTTCCGGTGATTTCTGCTTAAGCATGCATTGGGTAAAAAAGTTAAAAATGGGGAGATTCCCCTAGACTGAGGGAGCTGGAGCTGGAGCTAAGTTGCAAAAAAGGAGGAAGTGACTATCCAGAGGAATCTAGGGGATTTCTTAGGGTCTCACTGCCCGGGACACAGAATTGGGGGCTCTGTGGTAGGAGGGCTTGGGCAATGTTAAAAAATGAGGAAATAATCTGAAGAACCACAATGATTAATACTAACACTCGTCTTCAAAGAGCCATGAGATCTTTAGTATCTGCAAAATATATGAGGCTTCAGTTGAAGTTTTTATCAGAGAGATGCAGCTGGGGTTTTATTTCATCTTCACTCAGCTGAAGGCAACCTTGAGGGCTGGATGGAAGGGGATTGAGGTGGGTGGAGCAAGGTCTGAGGATAGAGAAGCAATATCCCAGCGTGGGCACCTTGGGAAGCTTGGCATTCTGCGTTGGTGTACAGAAAAGTACAACAGGGGGCTTGTTTGGTATCAGATACTGCTGGCTTGAATAAGAGCAGCCTTGGGTGTGACTTACTCGACTAGGTGACTTCTCCCGGCCTCAGTTTCCTCCTTTTTCCTTTTTTGAGATACAGTCTCCCTCTGTCACACAGGCTGGAATGTAGTGGCATGATCTTGGCTCACTGCAACCTCCGCCTCCTGGGTTCAAGCAATTCTCCTGCCTCAGCCTCCCAAGTAGCTGGAATTACAGGCACGTGCCACAAAGCCCGACTAATTTTTGCATTTTTAGTAAAGATGGGGTTTCACCATGTAGGTCAGGCTGGTCTCGAACTCCTGACCTCAGGTGATCTGTCTACCTTGGCCTCCAAAAGTGTTGGGATAACAGGCATGAGCCACTGCACCTGGCCAATTTCCTCTTTTGCATACC